GGGTTCTTTATTGCTTTTTCACTGTCTGCGTCTACGTCTCTGCACTCGCGTTCATCATTCTCATCTCGGTCTTTTTCCAACGTTATATTACCTTCGTTTGAACCGGCTAAAATTTAGCAGCTCCTGGCTCAAGTAGAAAGTATTCGCAGCGAAAAGCTTTAAGTCCAGATGCTTCTATCCTATTCGGCAAAAGTTTAGCTTCTCCTGAGAGTCATTTTTACTTGCCACTGCTCTGACCATGGACGGGGTAACGGGGATCGCTCACGTGTGCCCTGCCCAGACGAATTAGGCAGCAGTTCGTAAAAAAGCAGTCAGAAAGCTCGGTTAAAAGAAGAGAGAAGATTTAACGAGAGTAATGTTTACTTTACATCAGCGTAAGTTACAATTTCTCGTGGTGAGCTTTTTTTGCCGTAGAGAGAAAATAAAAAAATAAAAAAACGTTTCATTTTAACTTCGGTCAAACAAATCAAACGAAACTTTTATCATTTTTACACTCTTTCTGGTTTTATTGCGTAAAGCTTTTTGAAACTCGTTTTAGGTTCGTAAAAAGTTGATTGCAATAATTGCGTTGAAAAAAATTTCATTGTAACTTTAGATTTTGTTTATTTTTAACTTGTTTATAAATAGTTTATATGTTAGTTTAATTAAATTTTTCTCTTATGCTAAACTTTCTTTCTACTCAAGTCAATAAATTTGCTTGTGATACAGTTATTGGCCTCTGGCTGTTTGATCTCAATAAAGTTAAAATAAATGAATGCAAACAATAATATTGATATTTGAATCGAACAAATAACTATCTTCAATCGTTTCTTTGAATTTAAAATTATAATTTATTAAAATAAAGTTTGATATAAATAACCTACACGAAAAAGAAAAATAGTTGATTCGATATAAAAACATTCTTTACAATAACAAAATTATTTTGAAGACGACCGGTTGTCTTGATTCGAGAATTTCTTGTCTTAAAACTCGTTTTCTTATCGAAGAGAAATTTATTGTCTGATGATCAAGATTAAATATTTACTTAGTATTAACAAATCTATATATTTTTCTTAAAAAAATATTTAGTAAAAGTTAAATAAATAATTATTTATAATTAACAAATAAATAATTTTTTTCCAAATAAATTTTACTCAAATGTAATTATATATCTGATAGAAACTAATTACACCAAGGCAGAAATCAAAATAAGATTAAAAGTTTTATCCCGAAAATATTTATGTGATTCATTATCTACAACTGAGTAGATCCCGGATGGAAATCTAATGTAAGTTTATTTGTTCATTCCAACTTCGATCTAAGTCCATTAACTCTGCGTAAGCTTAGAGTAAGTTCAATATTTGACTGGAGGATTTCGAGAGTAAATTTAATATGTACCAAAATAGAGTATAATCGATTAAGTACATGAAATATCAAAAGCTTAGAGAAGAATTCTAGTGTCTAAAACAGATTTTATATTTGAGGTTTTTTTTTTATAAAAAAAAAACTTTCAGTGGAATAAAAAATAAATTGAAACCACTGCAAAGGGTGAGCTTGTCAATTTTTCGATACTTGAGTACTCAAATTGTTTGCTGATCGAGTGTCGAATCCGAGAGACTGAGGAATAAAAAAAAAATAAAATAGATAAGAGAAAAAGTGAAAAAAGTATGAAATGGCGTACAGCATCTGGTAGAAGTGATGCAAGTCAACGGTTCGTCGCCCAGCCACCAGATTGGACTCACACGTGTGACAGAGGATACTGAAGAGACTCCAATAGGCGGAAAGTTGCCGCTGAACCCGAGGCTCTAGCTCTGCATCAATATGGAAATGATGTGCCTTGTGGTAAACGTGATTCCGAGTCGATGCCTTGAGAAACTTGCTCTGAGATAGCTGAATAGATACCGTATATATGTGTATGTACACATCACCAACTATATAAATACATATATGTATAAATATACATAGGTATAGGTACAGAAAGGGGATGGTATACATTGACACGGGATCATATACCTGTCGGTAGTTTAGATTGGAACTTGCCTTAACTTGGATTCGTCGTTAAATTAATATTGCATGTTCATTTACTTGCATGAGCAATAATGCGCTTGCGCGCATAAATTCGGATTAAATTTACGCTATATATACTACACCATTATTCCAAAGTTTTGCTATTTGCAATATTCAATAAAATAATTTATATTGTCAATTTAACTTGAAATTTATTTTGTGAGATTTGATTTTAGTAAATTTCACAGACATTTAACAATTGCATTTGTCCTTAAGACGTAACTTTCGAAAAATTTTGCTATTTTCCGAGTATTTTAATAAATTTCAACACATTTATTCTTCATTCTCAAGTCAAGATCAGAACTCACAACAATTTAAAATTTTTAAATATGTATTTAATATGCATTTAATAATAATAAATACGAATATGTATTTAAATTATTAATTTATTTTGTGAAATTTGTTTTCAAATTTATGTGTAAAAAAATTTAGAGAAAGTTTTTCATTTACAAAAAACAGAACTGAAGTTGCATCAAAACGAAACGATTCGTTTAAACAATTATAATTGAATAAATAAAATTTTCCACTATAATTTCGAAGTAAAGTTTTCATAAAAAAGTCCTAGCTCAATATTATTTTGTGTGATAATAAAGTTTTTTCTGTATTATTTTATGAACTATAAAATTCAGAAAATCATTTATCGGAAGTAAATTGCAGCGCAATTAAATTTCCAAAGAGTTAAACTTGGAAACTTAGAGCTCAATCGATCGGAACTAATTCACAAGAATTCATAAAAATATAAATCTCATTTACCAAAGTTTGAAAAAAAAAAAGAATATTCAGTGAATGGAAAGAGATTAAAATAAATGGATATTTATAAATTGAATTATCGAGATAATAAATATGGCTAAAGCAATTGGAACTTATGTAACTGACACCGGAATAATTTGTGTATTAATGACATGGAAATAAAGTTTAACCATGAATTGAAATTTTCCGTGATGTTAATTCAGGTGCTAGAATGGCATCGAATTCGTTAGTTCGTGTCACGTCTGGACGACAAAGGGAAAGGCAGAGGTAGTTCTTGAGGCTACGAGAACTAGTATAGACTGCATAGTATTCTACAGTACAGAGACTTTGTGTGATCTTAAACTCAGCGTGTTAAGTTTTGATCTGGTCGAGATAGTTTTGGATACAAGTTTCCTCACTGCACAGACCAAGAGAACACCAAACAGATTGCTCGGTGCCAGGTTTCCCAGCACGTAGGAAGTAATTACTCGGCAGTAGTCGGTATACTGTTCTCCCACATCCCGTCGGCCATCTCTCTGTGACTTTCTCAAGTCAACCCGAACAACAAAGATACACTGAATGTTTATCTTAATCATCAAAGGACAACATGTCCTACACAACTTTTGGTCAAAGTTTGATTTTCTTTGCAATACTTTGGACACTACTTCTATATTTTATTTTATCTTTTGGGGAATGAGTGTTACATAATCTTCGAAAAATAATAAAACGACATGCAAATAATTATTTATACTAAAATATAAAAAAGAAAAGGACAAAATAATTTTTTTTTTTTTCATTATAACTAATTAACTACACTTCCAATTTAGATGAAATGTTTCATAAAGTATACAGATTACTCGAGATTATTCAGGATAATTTGTGAAAATTTTGAATTATAATATATTATAATAATCAAGCTATAAATTATTTAAAAAATTATTAATCAAATAAAAATAACTGTTTAAGGTTCGCATATTTAAATTTATGGCATAAACTTTTAAAATCATATAATAAAAAAAAAAAAAAAAAAATGACGGGTTGATAAATTTATATTGAGCCCGTGGGTAATGTATTTATTGAAAATATTGAGCGAACACGACAGATGCCAGTATAATAAGAAGAAGCGAAAAGTTTTCGTCAGAAATCACGTTTTCGCTGTAAATTAATTCAATTTTTTCAGTCATAACTTTAATAAAAACATAAGTAAAGTGAAGGTTATTTCGCGTAATATTAAATATTTTACATTACGTATGGACTAGACTCAGACCTTAACTAGTAAATATATCGAGAGAAACCAAGCGCAATTGCATTACAACCATTAGTAGCGACGCATATATTCCACTAATTAGATTTACCCGAGTAATAATCCTGCATTCGAAGAAATATATAACTTCTGTTAATTACCAGTTTAGCTCTGGATACTGTTACATGATATGTAGAAAATCTCTATAAATAGAATTATCGTAACAATATTCTTGGGAGATCAAAAAGCATTCAACTTTGTACATTAATTAAAATTTTAAATCTAGAAAATTATAGAGTTGAAAATTGAATTTTAATTTGATATTCCTTTAATTCAATCTTTTATTATATTTTTTATGATATCATATTGATTTTAGATAAATCTCAAAATTATGAAATTTTACCGAAAACATTTAAAATATTTTTAAGAACTGATTCTAGTAGGTCAGCTTCGAAAATATTAAGAAAATTTGAAACTTTTTAAAAAAATTTAACAATTCATGCGTAGTTCTGCGCAAATATTCTAGGAGACGTGGAAAACACACTGATAAAAAAATTAACTTGATTTAACAGAAAAAATGTTGAACCATGCACGTCATTTCAAAAAGTGTTATCATCTTGAATCAAGCAGAAAAATTGTTGAGTTAAAAAAAATTTACTTAAATCAAAAACAATTTTTTAACTTATGAATATTTCTGCTTCTTTTAAAGATGACAAAACTCTTTAAAATTATATTTTTAATTCAAGATTTTTTTCTCTTGAATCAATTTATTTTTTTTATTTGTGTATGGACTCCTGGTGAACTTTAACAATGTACCTGGTAGAGGTTACAATAATCATAAAATTCATAACTATTATTATTAATTAGAATTTTTTTAATTTTTTCTGCGTGATAAGCAATTCCATTAAAGCCGAGATTCTCCAAATAAAAATTATTCAAAAGTCTTTTCCATAAATTAATTAATTTATTTTTCAATTTGCAGCAAAGAAACCGTCTATGAAAAATCACTATCGTGCTCATCAGTTATCAGTGTGGTTAAGACTCGTCCCGGAATTACACCGAGCTGGAATGGAAGACGTTGAGCCAAGACACAATCTTTTTCGTGGTCACGGAGATCCTAATCTGTATGATGGCTCAGTACGTCCTGATCCTCTCAGTAGGATTGGCGAAGAATACAGACGCAGAAATTTAACAACAGAAGTACCAACAACCACTGATTACAGTATCACGACCTGTGTCAGTCTTATCCAGAGCACAAATCTTCAGAATGTTCACAATACCAGCTCGGATACTCTCGCGTCATTAGATGCTGCTGGGTAATTAAATTAAATTAATTATTTTTTCGTAATAAATTCGATAATATAACTTCAGTTCGTTTAATTTTCATTTCATTTATAATTTATTAACAGGTACGCGGCGTATTCCACAGCTTTAAGTGTAACAATAGCAATAGGGTGTAGCCTATTGATTCTAAACGTCCTAATATTTGCCGGAGTGTATTATCAGCGCGACAAAACACGATTAGAAGTTAAGAGTATGCAGCAACAACAAATGATGAACCAGCAGTGTGGTCCGAGAGGATTTACTGAGCTAAAACAACCGCCGTTACCGCATGCACACTTTGGGGAAGGCGGCCAAGTTGTCGTTGATGTAGAAAATGAAATGTTGAGACGGTAAATATTTTTTTAGTGTTATCATAAACTATAAAAAAACGAGAGTGATTTTTCACCACGATGGCAAAAATAAATTTTTATTTGGCTAAAAAAAGTTTCATAAGTCAAATTACTAACAAATACTTCAAACAATCTATCAAAAGTTTAATTGTAAATATTAAATGTATTTTTTCAAAATTTATTATTCTTTTCTTAATAAAATTAAGTCAATTTTCATTCAAAATTTCTAGTTTCTAGATATTAGAACATAATTCGTCCAAAAAATAGATATTCATTGTTTCTAAAATTTTCAACTACGTTCAAATGTTAACATTTGTCTACCTAATTAGAAAAAAATTGTCAAACAAAGATGAAATTATTACTACAATAATTTTGAATATTTTCAGAAACGTTACTAAAGTGTCAAATGATTCTGGACTGATGCAACAAGCACAAAGTACCCACACACTGCCACATCATCATCATCATTATCAAAAACAACCGCATTCAGGTCACGCTACTCTACCACGATCGTCAGTTATCCACGATATGGGATTACCACGTGGTGTAGACAGTCTCAATGTTAGATAATTACTATTTATACTTTCATTAATTTATTAAAAAATTCGGTAACTGTTTAGTTTCACAGGTTTATAGTAATTTTTTGTATGAAAACAACAATTAAAAAAATAATAATTTTCAAAAATATCAACTTTTTTATTTTTTGATTATATAAAAAAATTACAGATAATATTTGTATAGCTTAAAGTATTGTTGATCGGAAACTGAACAATTACCAAAATGATATACCTTCAGCACAATGACTACCGTATAGTCATAATTTTCCATAATTCAAAAATGTAACTCAAAATTAGACTTCTAGTAAATTATTTATTCAATAAAAAAAAAGTAACTCAAGCCCTCGAGCTATAACTTTAATATTAAACATGAATTCGTTGAAATTTTTAGGTGATAATAAAATTTTTAGATCCTCTAAAATAAAAAAATTCCAATGAGGTTGAATTATCATGAAGATAACTTCACCTTTAATAAAATAAAAAATGAAAAGTTAAAAGAAAAAAATTTTCAAAAATGTGTTGAAGGTTTTGATTTTGTAATAAATTAAAATTTCATTTCTATTGAAAGTAATTAATAATGAAAATTTGAATTATGGTTGCCAGTGTCCACCAAATGGGTCGATCCACTTGACAGTACCGCGAGCACCACCACCACCGCGAACAAAAAGCCCACCGGAGAACCAGCCGCTGCTTCAGGGTGGACAAGTCTTAAACCGTACAACCCAAGGGAGCATGACCGAGATGAGAGTGTGATGTATGGACTCCCCTCCGAGGCCAGTCGTCCCGGATGTGCTGACGGCGTCGACCTTGCTATAGAGAGAACTCGTCAAACTCCAGCCTGAATATGAATGTCGTTGAGGGATCCAGTGACTCGATTTTATTTATTAAATTAATTGATAACAAAAAAAAATTAATAAATATGTCCGTCATAAATATACATGTTTTTATGTATATACTGATTTAGGATTCATATGTTTATATTTATATATTAATATTAAATAAAACTGCGACTGTCACGGCAATTCCTACGCGACGCTCAACATCTGGTACGATTGTTAGACATCGGAGGGGGGGTGTAAGCCACTAATTAATAATAAATTAAATACTTAATATAATGAGATGAGTAGGATCTCACATGTTGTGTTTATATTAATAATATGGTGTTTTTAATTAACGTTAAAGTATTCATTTTTTAAATTATATCACTGCTAAAATATTAATTCATCTGAGCGTGAATCGAATACTTATATATGATTAATATATATATACTATAAATATAAATATATAAATAATAAAAATATAAATATAAATATTTAAATTTAAAAATGAACATTAGACTGACTTTTTTCAATATATAAATATGAAGTGAATATATATATAAATATAAATTTACGGTATATATATTGTATTATATATTATGAGCATTATTAATATTATTGATTTATTATTTAAAAAAAAAATTCAAATGTTAAAAATATCATTTACCAGATAATTGTTGGTTATTAATTTATTATTTTATATTTTTTTATTTTTTTATCACTGTAAATAGGACACTTTTATATTTAAATATTTATTGACTCTAGATTTTTTAAATTGAATTTAATTGTTAAAATATTATTGTAATTTGTTGAAATAATTTTACTTTCGAATAATTCTTATAAAAAATGACTCAAAAAAAAAATAAATAGGTAAATCAATTTACATGCAAAATCAAATAAGGAAAAAAAATACATACTTGTATACAGAATCTGTATTTAATTTAGTATGTACGATAATTCAATCAAATAAATTCAGTGCATCGCACTTATTAAATTTAAAAAAATGTAGGTAGAATTTTAAACAAAAATAAATATTTAGATGTTAAAAAATAATATTATAATAATAAAAATATGGCTCAAGGCGACACGATGATCCTTGTATAAATAATTCATTAACGTTAGAAATTCTTTGTAAATAAAACCAAACTGACTCTCATAATAAAAAAAATTTAACAATAAAAAATATAAAATGAACGTTATACACATAAGACCACCAAACGTTTGGTAAAATTCCTCACAAATATAAAAACAGGATGAAAAATAAAATTACGCATATACCGTATAACTGAGTTAATGTTTTTACACTAAAGTCCAAGCATTGCAAGAAAATTTATGACAATTACAGCAGCAGCTACTGTTTAAATTAATATGGAGGGAAAAAAATGAATGAATGAATAAAAAAAATTAAAATAAAGCAACGAAATCTTAATAAATGTTTAAGACTTAAGAATAATAAAGTGGTTAATCTCGACGACCTATAATAATTACAAACAACACAAGTAATAGGAAGAGGGCTGTGAGGATGGAAAGAGCCGAGAGAAATGCGAAGTAGCAGAAAAAGATGGGACGAACGATCGCGGTGGAAATGAGAAGAAGATGAGGTGAAGTTGTGTATTAAGAGGTGGAGGGAAGTACTTGAGGGTTCGCCACACAACAATGGACATCATTTGCGCGGCATTAAGTCCACGCTTTCCAACATTTGTCCTCGATACAAGCTCCAGATGGTGCTCTCTCGCGCGCGTTACTTCTGCTACAATCTACAACCTGTTTTATTCTCTTGTGGCTAATGACTATTTAAGCTCAAGTTGTTTCTCTCGCTCTAATTTCCTGGCACTTGCAAGTAGTCTTTCAACTACTACATCTATTATTTATATACGTCTATCTATATATATATATATATGTATAAAAGAAAAACTTTACTACAACAGAAAGCAGTGTAGTGTTTCTCTTTTATCTTGCCGCTTTATCCTTTTTTTACTTGATTCCTCTACAGTGCGCTTTTTTTTTAATTCATCCCATCCTCACTACCAGCTCTCTACGACAAAGATATTTAATTTAACAATTAGTAGCGCTTATTTATGACCTTTTTTTATTTAAAACAAAAAATATGTTGATTAAATATAATAATTGTTTTACAATAAAGACTTAGCTGCAAGCTGTTGGTGTAATATCATAAATTTTTTTACCGCTAAATCCTGAAGTATTTATTGTAAGAAAGAGAATGAAAGAACTGGTAAAGATGAGAAATAAATAAATAATAAAATATAAAAATAATAATAATGAAAAATATATCGAGGTCAAAAGGCGGAGGTGACTTGATCGTTTGATTTTAATTAATGCCATTTGATAAGAAATTATAAAAGTCAAACGAGTAGAAGCACCTTTTATTATTATCGATTGACTTAATAATAATAATATTAATTATCATTATTATTATTATTCTTATAATTTTTATTATGATGAAAATAATATTTCTACAGATTTATTTGTAAAGATGAAATATTTAATAATAAATCTCAGTCTATATATATGTAAATGCGCTATTGTAATTGAATGGGTGAATGATAAAAGCAAGAATGTAATATTGAATTACGATAAATATGCAATTTGTACGAATGAGCGCATTAAGTCGTTAACATTATTATATTATAAATTAAACGCCTCGTGACGTCATAGTTCCACTGCCATATAAAAAGTAAAAATAAAAATAAATTAATTTAAAAATTTTATTACATTTTAAAATGGACTTTATGACTATTGTTGCTGATGCCAACGGGCAATTTTACTCATTAAGATAATACTAATACTATAATTAATAGCTGTAAATTATGATAATTATTATAGTTAATAATAGTTGTACATAAAAATATAAATGTTGATGGGTGTGTGTATCATTTTTATCGTCACTTAGTCCAAGAAATAAAATAGTTAGTGAAATAACAGTGGATTAACAAATTAAATGTTATTGATTTATTTTTAACGTGTATGTGTGTATGTGTGAGTTGATATCAGGACAATCGGAATGAAAAAATTAAAAAATAATAAGAAAAATATGCTAGAGATATTTGAGGATGTTTAATTAATATGCGAATGAAATGAAACGAGTGCTTGGAGCTTAGATCTTTTTTATAGAAATTAAAAAACTTCTGAATTATTAAAAATCCGCCTTTTGACATTGATTATTTGTATTAAAATGATAATTATTATTTTTATTATTTTATATGTGAATATTTATAACTACTATAATTGGATATATATGATTTTAGCTAAATTTGCACTCTCTGAAAATGTCGTTAATTATGATCTATGACTGAGAGCGAGGCTGCATGTTACGTTTCACGATTTTGTTGTCAAATTGTAAATACATAACGAATAAAATATATATAAAAATATACTTTTCATCTCAAAATTACTTTAATTCCTTGTCACTCACCATTGATGCCACAATTCTGTCGATAAAGAGATAGAACCCACCTAGAAAATTAAAAAATAATTTATTAGTTATAATTCAGAATATTAAAAAACGAAAATACTAATACAAACCTTTTAGTTGCTTTGTCGGAAGCTATACCACATGCCAACTCCATCAATAATTATTAGACACTTCACTAAACACTTTACCTACTTTACATTACTTTTGTACTTAGAAAAAAAAAAAAACTACACTTAAGCTAACTTTTTAATTTACAAACTCACTTTAAACTTTAAAATATTACTCACGTAAACTTTTCCACAAAAAAAAATACTTTCACTCAACGACACAAATTATAAAAAATTTAACTATTAACACTGATAAAACACAGTTGAAATTTAACACTTTCACTCTAAAATATTAACTAATGTAGCATTTATCAATTAATGATTTAAAAAAAAAAAACAGATTTTTATTTTAAAAGCGACTACTTAAATATAAGTAATACGTAAGAATATTTATTTATTAATTTATTTTAAATGTATCGAAACTCAACTTATTTAGAATTAAAAAAATTCCGTTAAAAAAAAATAATAAGAACTTGTAACTAACAAATAAATTTATAATCACTGAATTTAAATTGTTTAAAAAAACGCGCGCGTTAGATAGTGCCGCCACCTAGCAATTTTTCAAGTTTTACGATACGAATCTGACTGGATGCCAGCTTCAACTCTAGACTCAGTAGCAACATATAATTTTTTTCAACATCAATAATTATTTCTCATAACTTATTACTTTTTTTTCAATGTTCGTTAAAAAAAGAAAGAAAAACTGAATGAAATTGTCAAATGACAATTCCGAACAAAAACTTACGAGCTTCCAAGAATGTCAGGCTACCCAGATTCAATTTATGAGTTTTATATATTTACTCGATGAAATAAATAAAAATCTTTATCTCTAGATGAATTCTGCCATTAATACTTTGTAATTATCATAAAATAAGTATTAAAATACGCGATTAAATTAATATTAATTAGATAAAAGCCAGCAGTAACGGACAAGTAACTCAACGATCATGGTTCGTGTAGTGTACCGCGCGCTTACTGCGTCACCGGCTTGCGTCGGTTAAAATGCGCGTCGAAGCTGCGCATGAAATAGACGTTAAAAATGTTTGAATTTCGTCCGGCTCGCTGATTGGTTGTCGGGTTTCGAGGAATCATCAGCTGAATCTCACCGTAATATTTTTTCTGAAATGAAAAAATTTAATTAAAATATAAGTTTATTAAGTAAATATTTGAAAATAAATGATTTAATAACCTGACAGTGATTACCGAATGGCAATCGAAAATGTCGACATAGTTTTTGAGAATTTACTATTTTTATATATTAATTCAATGAAGTTAATGATAATTATTATCTCAAGATGATTTTTAATAGTAATAATGTAGAATTATGATTAAAAAAATAATTAAAAGCGCAAATAGCTAATTAAATTGACTAAATTAAATCTGAGTACGACTGGCACTCCGAGCGCTCTAAGTTTTCCAATGACGATAGTGAAGTTAGCGCTCAACAAGTGCGAACTCTGGCGGTCGATAGTCGAATGATTTATATCGAGTATTTTTGAATTTTCGATAGGCTGCAACTTCGGAGTAAATAGAAAACGTTGGAGTCAACTGGCTCGTGCGGATGCCAGTCCGTGATTTCTTCAGTTCTTAATTTGTTTTTATTGCTTATTAATTATTTTAGTTTTTAACTTTTAATTCAAAATAAATTTAAAAATAGAAAACCATAATTTTTTTAAACAAGTATATTAATAATATCTGAATATTTATTTAATTTACTATGAATACAAATTTTTATTCTTTCAATTTTTTCTTATTAATTTGTTGGAAAAAAAAAATTTTTTAATGCCTACTAATTGTTGATAATACTGATTTAAATTTTATTTCTGCAACAAAGAGTAATTGTTTTTAAAATGAGTGTTAAAGTGTTGGTTATACATCTAGTCAAAAATTTAGTGAAATATTTCTTGTCGCAAAATTATAATTGTATGTTTTTGTGTATCGTTTCGTGAAAATTGTGAAATATTTTCATATCATACATTTATAGTTCTCGTAAGAAAATTTTTATATTACTTATCGAAGATTCAAGCTTTAAAATTCTATTTAAAATTTAAATTGTTTTAATTTCAGATCACAGGATTGCCAAGTATCTACTAAATTATGAGTCATTTTAATAATCAGCGCAATGTAAGTCATTATTTTTTTAATTTTAATTTTTGTGTAAGCAAAACTGCAATTAAGATACTTGATCTATTTTTAATTGTTTTAACAAATAAATTCCACACAAAGGAATTACAAAATATTATCAATTTTATTTTCTAAAACTAATTTATTGGTAAAATAAAATTGAAAATTATTTTTATTCAATCATTTGGTTAATTTAAATAAAAAAAAAAATAAAATTTTTATTTTTTTTTAAGAGAACTATTAAATTAAAGAGAATAAAAACAAAAATTTCTGTTGAATAAATTTTATTAATTGAATTTTCAACATGATACACTAAAGTTACATATAACAGTACTAAAATTAAAAATAATTTAAAGTTTTGAATAATAATATTAATTATTAAAATTTATGTTTCAATTTGTAAAAAGACTAGAAGTAATAAGAAATTCGTAAAATTTGTGTTGAAAACATTTAAATAGCTTTCAATAACTACAAGTACATAAACATAATATCAATAATTATAATAAAGACAATCGACAATAAAAGTATTAATATCAAGAAACAAAATCATTAAATCTTATTCTTATTACTTACTATTAAAAAATACTGATCGATCAAAAATATAACTCTATAATTATTAGTCTAAAATTGTTCCAAAAATTAATTTTTTTCATCTCTCCAATAAATACTATTTATATATACAATTAAATGATTGAATAATAAAATATCTATAAAAAAATATTATGCAAACAGCCATGGTACGATATTATCATCATAACTATTAAATTTACTGTAACAAATCTAAGCTAGCAGCTCCGACTGCACCAGCTTCTGCGCCTCCAGCAGCGGCATTATTAAACGGGTCGTCCAGAGACATGAAACCGCCTTCTGGAGAAATCAGTTCAGAAGCAACTGACGATGCCATTGATGCGGTCGTGTTTGTAGACTGGCTCGTTGATTGTCGCTTTCCTTTGCGATAAGGGGATTTAGGATTATCGGGTTCCCCATTTTCGCTGCGTTTTGCTGGACACTCAAAGTGTACACAGTGAAACACTTCATTAGCAGTGTTATGTGTCCCAACTATTCGAATAAAAACAACGTTACGTGGTGGACTGAATCGTAATGTTTGCCACGAGCGGCAACTCTCTTCACTCTTGTCGATAACTCGCTCCCAGTTTCTTAAATTCCCTGATACTTCGATGTAATACGAATATGACCGGTCATCGCAGTCCCACAGCAATAATCTAAACAGTTTAAAATATAAATCAATTCTTCAATAAATTCATTACTTTTTTTAATGAATAAAAAAATCTAAATTTAATACCGCATTGAATCAATGATATAGGGTTGTCCTAGTTGGACCAAAATTACTCCAGATCCTATTTGATGACAAGTGTACCCGATGTCCCAATCGTAGTTTGAAGTTTGACCATTCAATAGCGCGTTTCTTGCACGACTAACTCCTTCAATTACGCAAGCGCTTCTTTCCATTGTTGCGACATTCATTGAAGGAATTATGAAGCCTGATGATAAATTTTCCGAATGGTTTGTAAAATAAGCTTCAAAACTTACTACATGAAACACCTAAAAATACAATTTTATGTTCATTAAAAAAATTTAAAGCTGACTAATTATAAAAGTTGTGAATATAAAATAAGTTTTATAAAAAAAAAAAAATCTAAATAATATTTCGACAGTTTTTTAATCAAATTATCGATTAATCTATATTATTAAGAGAATAATCAAAATTTTGTGTCCAGTGTATTTATATGATAAAATGGGTTTTTATGGTTAAATTTGGTATCGTTAGAAAAGTATTGACCTGGAGTCGTCCCAATAGTCAATTTATGATGATAAGTATTTAGACTGCATTTAAAAATGCTCTATCTCTAAATACATAATTAAGAAATGACCTTGTATCTCGTGAACTATTGACATTTTTAAATATTTAAGCTCATCCCTATGTTACACTCATCGAGACCTTTCATTTAAGTACCCACATCAATTTTTCATATATTTCATATATTTTTATATATTATATATTTGTATATATGAAAAATATATCAAAATACATGTAGGTACTCAAATGAAAGCTCTTGATGAGTGCAATGTCGAAATGAGCTTATATCGTTACAAACGTCAATAGTTAAGAAAGTACAGTGCAATTTAACAAATATCTTGTAAACTCTTGACATTTTTTAAGATGTAAACTCATCCCGATGTTACACTCATCGAGACCTTTCATTTGAGTACCCACATCAATTTTTCATATATTTATATATATTATATATTTGTATATATGAAAAATATATCAAAATGCATGTGGGTACTCAAATGAAAGCTCTTGATGTGTGTAACATCGGGATGAGCTTATATCTTCAAAAACCTCAATAGTTAATAAAGTACAGTGGAATTTAACAAAAGTCATTGTCAATAAAAGCAAAATTTTATTTATTTGTAGTTCATAAGTCACGGCAGTCACATAGTGACTGCAAGGTTGCTAGTGATTATAAATTACCTTATTAACAGTATTGTTAGTCCCAACAATTCGTATGTAGTATACAACTCGCGGTTCAAAATAAAGATACTGCCAGCTGCGACAAAAATAGTCTGAATAATCGATTATCTTCACCCAATCTTTTTGATCATTGGAAACCTAAGCAAAAAAAAAGTATTAAAAATTTTCAATACTATTATGTAAAAATATAAATTATTAATATATTAATTACTTCAATGTAGTAAGAGTATGAGCGTAAATCACGATCCCACAAAAGCATTTTAATGTGGTTTATAATACTTGGCGTTCCTAATTTAACAACAATTCCATGGTCTTTCAAGTCACTGATAACATGTCTCGAATACCTAGGAGATTAATTAATTGTTTGAATTTTTAACTACATATAAAATAAAAAAAATGTCAGAATGAATAAATACCCTTGCTCCATGTCATAAGTGAGAGTATCACCGTCGAGAAGAAACCCTCGCATCTCTCCCTGCAAAACTTCGGCTTCGTAATTGGGACGAGCAACATTTTCATCAACAATCAATCGTCCGCGATAGTTGAGCTCTGAATCGCGAGTGTTGGTACGAGCGGCTATAGCATCTAGAATTGCCTCAGGTGAAACCAGACCTGTAGGACGCACTATATTCAATAAATCCGTGATTGATATTAAGGACAATCTTACTTGGCCTGAAAATAATTTTTTTAAATAAATTTTTTATAAAAAAAAAAAAACAATTTAAAAGTTAGAAGAATTTTTAAAAAATTACCTAAGACCTCGTTCACGTCCACCTCAGGATTAGCTTTAACCCATGATTGTACGGCAAGAAATATATCAATTTCAGGCGCGTAAAATGAATCTCGTGATATCAAGTCATTTAATGCGCCAGCACTTAATTGAAGAAAACTTGAATGTTTTATAATATCTATTGCATGGGTATCCATGTATTCGTAACAAACCTGTAAAAATTGTTTATAGTATAATTATCATTTGTTCTTCGTTATTTAACAAGCAATATTTTCATTTTCATTAAATTATTTATTAAATAAGATTAAATTGTCTTAAATAAAATTTTTAATGGCAAGCAAATTTAAGAATATCATCAATATTTTTTTACAATAAAATTATTTTATTGAAATTCAGAGCTCAAAAAATTATAATTCAATTTTCAAAAAGATTATATCAAGCTTGTACGTCAAAAATTACATTTGTTAAAATTCAAGTAGTTTAAATTTTAAAAACAATTTTTTTTTAAGTAAAAAAAAATTATAAGGTAAGAGCCCCAGTAGCTACTCAGGAACCAGTACCCGCTCACTCCACACACAAAAAACAAATATCTTGCGCCAAAAAAATTTTAAGGAAAACGAAAGTTATTTTGGAGCAAGAAAAAATGTTCTTGGCTCAAGAAACTTTGACTTCATTCAAGAAATTTTCAACCTTATTTAATATTTTCTTGAGCCAAGGAAATTTATACTCCAGTGAAGAATTTTTTTTTCATGTATTTGTATATCTGCATTTCTGAATATAGAAATACAAATACATGGAGTGAGCAAGTACTGGGACTTTTACCTTAGATTGTGTTAATTAATTAAAAAAAAAAAAAAAAAAAAGAAAAACAAATTAATTTAAACCTTAAAAAATTTTTAATTCTTTAAACTGATTTTAAAATCGGAAAAATTTTGTTTAATCGCCGCAGTGGATGAAATTCACAAAACAGGTTAATAATAATAAAAATAACTCATAAATAATAGTAAATAATTAATAATCATTAAATACGACTATGACACTGAAGTTAGCAGACGTCTAAAAATTTTTGAATTTTTCTTTTTTTAAATTAAATTACAACTAAAAAGATATTTCTAAAAAATTGCACTTATAGTTTTTCAAGTTTTTTACATGTGACATTTTTTTTTTTTTAATTGTTTAATTAAAATTTTTTCAATAAAAAATTTCTAAAAATTTGGAAATGTCAGCTAACTATGAAAACTAAATTTTTATAATTTATTTTATAGAAAAATTAAAAGAAAAAATTTCACATACAGAAAGTTTGAAAAATTACAAATGCAATTTATTAAAAATATTGTTTGAGACTTAATTTAATTAATAAAATAAATCAAAAATTATTGAATGTCGGCTAACTTTAATATCATCAGCTAACTTTATTTTCATAATACGACTAATAATAAAATCCTTACCTTAGTTAATCTACTGAGCTGATATAAACGGGCAGCATCAAAAATAAGACAAACATTTTTAATATCCAAAATTTCTTTAAGATAGTCAGATATTGCCATTTCTAAATCCACGAATCCATACTGATGAGCAAGGCTCAAAATATCCAAGATAGTCTGAAGAAAACCAAATCAATTATTAATAATTAACAATCAATAATCAATAAAAAAGGTCTTATTTTTATTCCTATAAATACAAGATAACTACAGAGGAAAAAAACAAATACCTCCTCGGGTTGGTTGACGAGAGACAAGTGACCGATATAAATATACTTGAGAAGCTCCTTGAAAGCTGGAAGAGTCGTTTCTTTCAACTCGATTTCGGTTTGCTCGGATTCACGAAGTCCGCCGTACAAAAGAGCACGGAAATATTGACTGCGTGCAGCCAGAATAAGCTTGTGGCCGTTGAACCTTTGTCCACCGACGATCAGCGTAACGTCACAGTAGTCATCAGATAGGTAAAGAGATCCAATGTTTTCAGACAACTGATTGGTGTGAACAACCTCCCCTGAAGGAGGATTCAAATGATGATGTGAGCTCATTTGCAAGATAAACAACTATTGTATTTTAGATGATGACAATTCTGTAATGAGTAATAAAAAATTTGATAAGTGATCGAGCGAGGCATGCTTAGCTTGACATGTGGATTTGTTTGCGTAATAAATTTTCGCTGACAACTTACGGGTTAGCGATAGCGTGCGAAAAAATTTATTGATGTTCAAGTTGATGAATCAGGAAATTTTGAACATGATTTATTGATGGACAGAGCTTTAAGAATACTTACAGACAATGCTGTTGCTGTAAATAATCATTCACTGGTATAAATGTTGGTTAAATAATAAAAATATATATACTATCTTCCGAACGATTAAATGACCACCATGATTTAGTGATATAAACTACGGAATTAAAATCGTCGCGAGCTGACATCTGCTAGAAGTTGATGAGAATTATTTTACTGAAGTTTCATTTTATCATTTTATCGGCTAAGAGAAAAACGCGGAGCTTCTTATCAACTTGGGTATTGGCGCGAGAATTGACAAGTTAAGCAGCATGATAGTGAAAAATTGAGAGACATGTGATAATTTTTAAATGCAAAAACAATTGAATCGGTAGACAATAATCATTAGAAATAAATTTATCAAAAATTTTAAAGCCTAATGTGAGTTACTTTGGACACGCGGGGATGAAAATTTAAAAATCCAAAATTTCTAAAAAAATTATCTCATCAATTCTTTGGCCTCAAAATCTTTTAGGGAATGTAGAAATAATTCAATTGGTATATATTAATCATAGTTAAAAGTATCTTTAGTGTTTATTAGGGTGTGCCAAAATGTAACTTCCTTGATAGACTTCTTAAAATTGGAATTTTGAGTTCCGCTTTTAACAGGAGTTGTGTTTGGGTATTTCTTGGCATATTTTGAGCGTTAAGGATTTATTTGATTTTCAAAGAATTTTTTTACAGGAGTTTTGTTTAGGCATTTTTGCTGAAATGTCAAAATTTGGGCGAACAAAACTCCTTTTAAAAAATTCTATATTGTTCACGGCTCTGTGAAAATGCTTTGTTTAGATATTTTTTCTATAATTTCATATACAGTAGCGCTCAAAAATATTTTGACAAATATATTTAATGGTTTAATTAAAAATAAATATGAAATACAATAATCATTTATTTACTATTTTAACAGCTTTTGAATAATCTACAGAACAGTGTCAAAGTGGTCCTTGTTCGTAACAAAAGATAGTTTAATTTTTTAAATATTAGGAAAATGGTGGCTCCAAAGTATTTAAACATTGTTGAAAAAAACTAACGCATAATTTTGTCAAAATACTTTTGATCGCTACAATAATTCGGTCAAAATTTTTTCTTGGTATTTGTCTCTGTAGATTAAGTATGTTAAGTTTGATAACGATCTCGAATGAATTGTAGACACTTTCGTCGTAACAAGCCGCGTTCTATAAAATCTACTAAAAGCCAATCCTAAAATTTACTGAGAATCCCTCAATTTTTTTTCCACTTGAAATCTGGAGTTCTGTTGATCTTTCTAAACCTATATTAACGGGATCAGAAATCAAAATTTTCCTTTTTTTCCGCTTTATCCGCCAACTCTAGTGCCTGTATAAGCTTCACCTTTAACAAGTTCAAGTTCTGGAGACTCCACTACTACTGCCATACTTTAATTTTCCGACAATCCCATTCTCTGGCTAAGATGACTCTGTATACCACGGCAAAATTTATTCTGATAGCAATAGATATTAAGCTACCTCAAATCATATACAAAAATGTTTTTATAATATAAATATTTTTTAAGTAATTAAACAAAGAAATATATATTTCAATTTTTATATTTTATTTATCGTCACTTAATTGGTAAGACAATCATACAATAATTCATTTATTTATTTATGACATAAAATTTAAATTTAATCACGCGTTGTCAATACGTTGTATTACATGGTTTTAAAACAAGTTGCATTTATACTTAACTCACGGTCCATGTTCACATAAACTATACATGAGCAATTTAAAATACAAGACACTTTGAAATATGTAAATTAAATATGTAAAAAGTTAAAGTCGCATATACGTCCAGAATAAACCGCCTTAAGTATTTTTAAGTATTATCAGTACATAATATATATATATATATATATATATATATATATATATATATATATATAATGCCGTTATTAGACGGTAAAATATTAAGTTTTCATCAAAATTCATAATTCGTTTTTTAAAATATAGTAAAAAGTGATTGCCATATGTATATTATGCGAAGAAAAAAAAATCTTAATAATTGCAAAAATTCTTATATAAAATTCGAGTTAATTTGAGCTTATTTTAATTAGCACGTAGTCGATATTATTTTTTAATAAAATATATCAGTGTGAATAACGGAGTTTACTAATATCACTGCACTGCACCGAAAAAAAATAAGTTTAAATTATTCGTATAATGAAAATAAGCACTTTCATTTTATTTATATTTAATTAATTAAAACGGTCTGTATGCTTTTGGATATCGTGTAGGTAAGCTCGTTGTTAAATAACGTGTCCAGTGATCCCAACCAACAGTCCTTGTAATTTCAATAAACTTCTCATCAATATCTCTTACTGGTTTTTCTTCATAGAAACGAGTCAACAGCTTTAGATAACGCCCATAATGTTTATTAATATGTGCATGCCACAGTGATAAAATTAAAACCTGTAAAAGATTAATTTAAAGATAAATAAATAAGTCAAGCATTAGAATAAATTAAATAAGAAAATAATAATTATTTACTTTGCTATCCGTTGGCTCGGCATACTTTTGTACATCGTTCCAAATTTGCGTTACTGTTGCAAGATGCATTGCAGCTTCAGTTTCACCGCGTTTTCTCGCATGAATATATAATCGTGCATAAGCACAACCTTTCTTAACAAATGCTTCAATTAAAAGATTCTTTTGTTTGTCCATGGTTGATTTTATCTTCATAGCATCTGGTCGTTGATCGTGTTTCATACCATAAAAGGCAAGTAATTTTTCTTGCTCGATAGCTGTGATTACTTTGTCTGCGACGTCAATCATTTGGTCAGCAAAATTAATGGCACTTTCTGAGAGATCATCGTGAGGAAGAAGACGTCGCGCTTCTGGCGAGTCTAACGATGTCAACATGGCAGTGTGTACTGGTAAATGCTCAGGGTATGATGTTCTTAATTCATTGTACAAAGCTGTTGCATGTTCAGTTGCCTCTGTTTTAGTTAGACAAAATAAATATTATTAATTGGTGATGGTTAATAAATTATTGGTCATTTATATCCACAATTTATAACAATAATTAGAATTATGGGGGATAAGACTTGAGATAATTAAAAATAAATACAAATAAAGCCTGCAGTGGCTTGTAATTAAAATCAACTGGTAAATCCTTGAATTAATTAAATAAAAAATTAAATTAAGGTAGTTGTCGTGGTTAAGACATACCGTCAGAAAATTATAAATTTTTGTATACTTATTAAAAACATCCCTCATAGCCACGCTTTGTTTAAAAGTAGTTGGATTTTTAATAAAAAAAAAAACTAACAATCAGAAATTTTCAAAAAACTGACAGTCTTTTAATGTATTTGTTGAGTTTAAAAAAAAAAAATTCTTAAAAATTTTTGACCGTCTAATTATGTATAAATAACGAATTAAAGTTTAAAAATTTATGAAAAAGTATACATCTACGGAATAGGACAAAAACAATTACGTAGAGTCTTACGTAAAAATTATGGATTATTTAGCTACAAGCTCACATACTTTTGCGGGGTTGTACCACGAAATCTCCCCGACAAAATACGCTTCAAAATCTCGTTGTGCCCTTTTATTATGATTTTTTGTGTATATTTACACGAAAAATACCATCACAACTGTCAGGAATAATAAAATTATTTAAAATGAGATTTTGTCAGGGAGATTTTGTCGTGTCACCCTTTTGCGGTGCGTATAATTTCTAATTTTTTGACAATATTGTACCATGACAACTACCTTAAAAGAAGTTAAAAATAAAACAGACAATGGATTAAACATTGATGGAAGAAACATTTTTTTTTACACTTAGACTTACTTATTGATGGCGCTAAATAACAAAATAAAGAAAATACAGTTATTTTAAGTCGTGAAATTGATATTTTTTAATAATAACTCTATGTATATAATTCTGATATTGATTTTAAAATATTTTAAATGTACAGGTATATATTATAAAACTTACCTAATTTAGCGAGCCATGTACACTTAATATCTCGCAAAGTATCTTGATATTCCTCCCATTTGCTGACCTTTTCATCATCTGGCTTAACTACTGTCGGACTTTTTTTAGCTGGCTCTGAGAGTACGTACTTAAATGTATAACAGTCAACTTTTTTACGTGCATCGTCTTTACAGAAAGTTACTGCTCCTTGAAGATAAGTTCCCAAGGTAGCAGCTTTTGATATTCTTTAAATAAAAAATTTTATTAATTATTAAAAGTTAACAGTTTTAATAGTTAATAAACAAATCGCTGGTGCAGTTGGTCATTAATGTAAGCCATGCGTCGTATAAAACAATCTAAATAATTATAATCCGCAGAAGCATCAAAGATAATAACTTTTAGTAGTGTTTTAAGCTAGTTGATAAATTTGAAGCATTAAATCAAAAATAGTTTTATACATTTTGTTTTTATATTTCAAATAAAAAAACTGGAAACGAGTTAATCCAGTAGATTTCAAATTCAAATACTTCTATTGACTCACTTGTCTTCATTGCTGCTTTGTCAGAGAAACGATATCAAGAAAAAGAAAAAAGACATAAATGAAATGGGTTCATTTTTGTATTTTGATTTAAACTCATGAAATTACCGTAAATAATAATTTAATAAACCACGAAACTGTTCCACTATTTTGTAACGTATATAAAAATATTAAAAAAAAAAAGTACTTACTTGCTTTCATTGTTCATTGGAGCGATATAAACTGGAAGAATATGTCCTGGTGGTACAGTAGCAGCTACCATTTTTTTCCCACCGACAATAGCTTGCGAATGATTGGCATAAACATCTAAACTAACAGGCGAGCTTAATTTTTGACTTAACAGTATTGCCATTTCTGTCAATCGTTCTAATAAATCTTTCTTTTCGTGACGTACATGCATTTTTAATGTATAGTCGCCTTTTTCTAATTTTTTAACAGTGTACTAGAAAAAAAAATTGTATTTATTTATCATTACTAAGAGGAAGTTCAAGCAAATGAAATATTCGGCTGCGCAATTTCAAAAGACAGTAACTAACATTTAGAAATTTTTTTTTTTTTTAAAGCTTGCCTGCCAAATTGATGAAAAATTTGATTTATGAATAGAAAATACTTGTATATAAATATTTTTAAGAAAAAATACTTGTAATTTAGGTCTAAAAGTTATAAAAAATACAGCAATATTAAAAAAAAAATTAGGTATAAAAATTTTGCAGTTACTGTGTTTTAAAATTGGGCAGCCGTATTTGAACTGAAGAAATGTTTAAAAAAAAATTACCTTCCAAGGAAAAGCGTCACCAGAAAAAATGAGATGTTTATTACAGTCATAAAGCATCCACAATTGACTTTCATACTCGCTTTCATAGAGTAAGTCACTCAAATAAGCGGCATTGGGTGTTACCTCAGTAGCTTTGGCAATGTGGAATGTGTACGTCAATTGCAATTCATAAATTTGACGAGCGGGTGGTATTACGTCACGTGCACCAAGCGGTGATATTTTATAATCAGTTGGTCGTAATACCTGAACAATTGATTTTAATGTAACACTCGGTACAATATCCTCATTTCTCAAGCTACTGCGTAATTCCATACGATGGATTCCATCACCAGATTGCATTGTAAGATTGCTATCTACTATATGAATACCGTGAAATTCAATAGAATAATCAACGTGTATTTCACCAAGATTGGCCCAATATTTAGCAATAACAACTTCAACTACAAGACCAGCCTGGACGGCAAATCCCTGGACGGATTCCGATTGTGAGGTGACATTTATCATTTTATTAGTATGAAGCGTGCGACAAGCTAAGCGTGGTTTCAATTGTACTGTCTGAACAGCAAACCTACCAGTCTTTTCTTTGTCTGTGCTTTTTATTTTCAGCACAGCCCAGGTAGCATCTTCAGGCACTAAAATAAAGTGCCTTACAATGGTGTTTGCTTTGAAGAGAACACGTGAGTAGTGAAGATCTGGTAAATTCATTGATTTTTGTATTGCCAATGGCTGAACGACAGTAATAGGTATTGAGAATACTGGACCTTTTTCGACATTCTCAACGTCATAGGCACGTATATTTGTCGCATGAACACCTTCTGGTAGTTTAACACCGTCAATACGGACGGTAAAGGCACGTGACATGTGCATTAGTTCAAAGTGAGAAGGAAATTGTACCCAAGCAGCGTCGCATACTAGCGATAATCGTAAATTGAAATTTATTTTACGGGTTGCGTCGACATTTTCAGTGTCTAGGAATATAGGTTCAACAGTTATTGCACAATCTTTCGGACGGTCGATTACGCAAGATCTTAAGTGAATACCCTTGGAGTTGTTAACACCACAGTTTATTGCAAATCTGACGTCACGCTCAATTGCTTTGCAGTTGGCGACAAGATTCTCAAATGCCCGTTCAACTTGCAAAAGCCCAGAGCCTTGAGCAAATGAGTCAAGGGTGTCTATGTATAAAGCTGTGTTCTCTAGAGCACGTTTTATACTGTATGGAGAGTAAGGACAGTGTTTATCATGAAGACCTGAGATTAACAGAGCAACTGCTCCGGCTACGTGAGGACTGGCCATGCTGGTTCCATTCATCAATTGGCTTTTTCTAAGTGTAAAATTGGGCACGCTGGTAATTGCACCTCCTGGAGCGCATAACGTAATGCCAGTACCCCCGTCAATCATCGGACCGCGAGATGACCATGTGTAGGGCATACCCGGCATCTTTTCACGCAACGAGTACTCGGCTACCATCATATCCGGCGATACGTAAGCTCCCACGCTGATAATGTTTGTTGAATTAATATCAGGCGGTGTTCCAATGGTACACAAAGCTGGTCCGAAATTACCTGCAGCTGCAACCCATGTTACTCCGTACTTGTCAACTACCTCGTTCATTAAATCAAATATACGCCCGGAATTACTCCAGTGCACCTGTTCGCCATAGCTCATATTTATCACATGGACTTTTATTTTATTTTGCATTATCCAAATCATTGCGCGGACTAAAGCTGTTCCAGTTTCCATTGGGTCTATACGATTATCGCCGATCGTTAGGGATATTATTTGAGCACCCGGTGCTACTCCATTTAGCTCTTTATTATCAGGAAAATTCGCCGCAGCTATTGACGCTACGTGCGTTCCGTGACTTGCTGAAAAATATCGTAATAATTATAAATTGTAAATCAAAAATTCATAATTATAAATTATTGGAAAAAAGATATGTACATTTTTTTTATCACATTGAAATTTTATTTGTAAAAAAAATAAAATTCAATTTTTTTTCTATGACAATAAAGTTAGCAGTCACTCGATAATTTTTTAATTTTATTTAACAAATACATTTTTTTTTGCCATAATCTGTATTATTATGAGAATAAGAAAAATTTTATGGCCAATGTATTCAGATGCTAACATTGGTTTTTATGGTTAAATTTGGTATCATTAGAAAGGTCTTGATCTGAAGTTGTGCCTTTTCATGGTTTCATACCATTGTCACCGATAGTCAATTTATTATGATAAGTATTTAGGCTACATTCAAAAATGCTCTGACGCATAATTAAGAAATGACATTGTATCTTGTGAACTATTGACATTTTTAAAGATATAAGCTCATCCCGATGTTACACTCATCAAGACCTTTCATTTAAGTACCCACATCAATTTTTCATATATTTATATATATTATATATATATATATATATATGTATATATGAAAAATATATCAAAATGCATGTGGGTACTTAAATGAAAGCTCTTGATGAGTGTAACATTGGGATGAGCTTATATCTTTAAAAACATCAATAGTTAAAAAAGTACAGTGCAATTCAACAAAAGTAATTATTTAATGAAGCAAAATTTTATTTATTTATAATTCACAAGTCACGGCAGTCACATAGTGACCTGCAAAATTGCTAGTTTATTTGTTAAAAAAATTCTAAAAATTATCGAATATCTGCTAAATTAATTTTAATTATTTTCTTACCGCATATTCCTACAATTTCAAGAGTATTGCCTTCATCGTGAATATTTACAGAAATATTCAATTGATCTTGCTGAGTCAAAGGAGCATACTCATGGGTAAGTGAGTATTCACCAAGATGAATTCCTGCCTCCAAATTACCTTCCTCAGATGTATCAATACACACCCTGTAAAAAAATAAATAAATAAGTAACTTTAATATTTAATATTTATTGTAAGACAAAAATAAAAATTTTTACCTCCACTGTTGTCCGTCGTGATAAACGACGCAGTCATATGTTGGACCTGCATCATGATATTTTTTTTCTCCATTTTGCAACACTTCAACTCTTGTTTCCAACTCTTCTTTGACCAACTTATCTTCTACACTCGTTGGATTAGGATGACTTGCCTCAAACTCCTACAGTAATAAAATGATAATTAATACTATAAAATTTAATTAACATTTATGCATATAAAAAAAGTAAGCTTTGACGATATTTTTTTCAGTAAAATCAATTACACAATCACGACTATCTGACGACTTTTTTTATTAAACAGCCAATTACAAATATAGTCAGTAGTATCGATGGGAGAAATGATAAAAATACGCTCGGCCTAATTTTATTGCCGGTGGTTAAATGTCCTCACTGGCATATCACACTATCTTTGGATGACTTGGTTTCGTATCCTACTTTTTCACAGTCTAGCTTTTTTCTTATTTTCAATCACAAAGTATTTTGTTTCAATTCAAATTTTATTAATTACTCCAAAATAAAAAAATAAATAAATTAATTACCTGAAGCTTTCGCGTTGCCTCAGCTAATGCTGACTTATGACCATCATCCCAATATTTTTTCTTACGTTCGGCCGATATTTTTTCACGTAACTTTGTAGGATATAGACGGTAGGCCTCTTTAACACCAATATGGTAATTACCAGTTGGATTTGTCCAATTAAATGGTATCTATAAATCACAATAATAATATATATAAATAAAAATAAAACAAGTACTAGCTTTAATCCAGTAAAATTAACACAATTATTTAAAAATAATAATTACCTTTAGCTTACGTCCAGTAATACCAGTTATAAAGCCTTCCTCTGATTGTACTACAGTACTTGTATCAACATCTCCGTCACCACTGCAGTCAAAGCGTGCTAAAATTTTTGGTTTTCCATCACTTGTCACCTACAAGCCATAAAATATTATACTAAATATTAAAAATAATTAATGAAAATTAATTTAGCAGATATTTAATAATTTTTTTAACAAATAAATTTTGACAAAAAAAAATTGACATGTAGAAATTTTAAAAAATTAAAAATGCAATTTCTTATAAATAATTTTTTTGTTAAATGTAATTAAAAAATGATTTAATAATTTTTTTAACAAATAAATGTTGACAAAAAAAAAGTAGAAAAAAAAATCGACTTGTAGAAATTTAAAAAAATTAAAAATGCAATTTCTTATAAATAATTTTTTGTGAAAAATTTTTTTGTTAAATATAATTAAAAAATGATTTAATAATTTTTTTAACAAATAAATGTTGACAAAAAAAAAGTAGAAAAAAAAAATTGAGATGTAGAAATTTTAAAAAATTAAAATTGCAATTTTTTATAAATAATTTTTAGAAAAAAATTTTTTTGTTAAAAAATGATTAAGTGACTGCTAACTTTAATGACATAAATAATTATAATTAAATGGAAATAATTGTTTACCTGCAATCCTGGAGCACCAGGATCAATTCCAGAATCAAAAATAGCAATAACGGTACCACGACCATCATATTCTGGATATTTAATAAGAAATTGATTAACTCCAGTTTCTTTTTTCGGCAAAAGGCCCCATACAGGAAAATTGCAATCTATGACGTCCCCCATTTTTATAAAATTTCAAAGATAAGACTAAATGTCTTTGCCACGATTAAAAAACTTTTACAACAGTGTTTATGTACCGCATAAAAATATCCAGAGAAAAAGTTAAAAAAAAAAAAATAAAAACGGGATTGAAGGACTCTTTTCAAATAATGACGATGTTGATGATCGGCCCAACAATCACGATGATGTTGCGCTCTCTCTTACTCTCACTTTTATAACTGTTTTATTACGTTAAATACTCTTTTTATATCTTACTTGTATGTATATTATAATTAAAAGAGAATCGTAAGTTAAGTTAAGTTTTATTTAAAGACTCTAGAGGCGCTTATATTCTTCACGAGCAACAATCATCTACACACGATCGCAATGATCTGTCATATTTTTTCTCTCTCGTCTTTCTCTGGTGTCTGTTTGCACCGTTTACACATTACATATATAGTTCCAAGTATTTATATTTTTTTCTTCACTGTTCTATCGATCGGATTTAAAAAAAATACTTATTTCTTCTGTTGTTAACTAGGTGTCATTACTGGCTCAAGCCACAGTCGCCCCCTACTGCTAAATAATCATAACATATATTTAGTTGATCATTTTTTTATAAGTAGAATTTTTTTGTAGCACGTTATGTTTGTTATAAAAATAATGTAAGATGTAAATGTCACAACTGTTGTTCCTAAAAAAAGTTATATAAAAATATATCATTAATAAATATGTATAAATATATTTATTATTAATTGATTTATAAAATTTTATCGGTTATCATAAAAATAATGTTTAGTATAATTAACCGCAAATTATTTATATATAAATATATTTAATAATGTTTTTCAATCAACGTAAATTAAAGCTAATTGGATTTGTAGTCTTCTGTATATTATTGGGTAATTATTGAATTTTTATTTATTGTTACTACCTATTTTTGTAAGTATTTCATTTCTTTTGTTTTGACATTGAAAAATGACATTAAAGTTAGCAGTCACTGGAAAATTTTTAATTTTATTTAAAGAAAAAAAATTTGTTGCAAAAAATTGTTTTTAAATAATTGCATTTTTTATTTATTTTTATTTTTACATGTCAATTTTTTTTTTTCCATTATTTGTTATGAAATTCTTAAAATTATTATATATGTGCTAAATTAATTTTCATCATTGAAAAAAATCATAATAGTACTGAAGTTAGCTGACAGCTGTCAATTTTTTTAATTTTTATAACAAATCAATTACAATAAAAAAAAAAAAAAAAAAAAAACAAAATTTTCCATGAAAATTAATAACTAAAGTTAGTCGACGTTTTTAATTTTTTTTTTTTTATAATTAAAATAGAACAAAAAAATATTTTTTTAAAATTGCACTTACACTTTTTAAAATTTTTTACAAATGAAATTTTTTTTTATTTTTTGTAATCATTTTTTCAATAAAAATTTTTAGAATTTTTTTTTAAGTAAAAAAATTATTACAAAATAATTAAAACAAATTTTCATTTATGAAAAACTATACGTGCAATTTAAAAAAAATATTATTTAGTTATAATTTAATAATTAAAAATATCGGCTAACTTTAGTATTATAAATTTTCCACTAATAATTTTTTTTTAATTTTCACATGTGGAATTTTTTTTCATAATAATTTAATTGCTATAAAATTCTAAAAAAATTTCTAATGTCTGTCAACTTTATTGTCATAAAATACAATACCTATTTTTATCTGTTAAAAAATTATTTTTAATTTAATTGTTATTAATATTTAATAATTATTTCCACAGGTTTCGGTTTTTATGAAGGATTTGTTAACATAGAAAATGTATCATCATTCACTATGCCAAGAAAACAATTACGTGTAAATGACCATGAATTATACGATAAACAAGTGAGTAATTACGAAGAGAATGAAGTTAATAACGTAAATAATAACAATGATGTCCAAGACGTTAAGAGCCGTCTGCATGAGTTAGAAGAAAAGGTCCATCAAATGGAATCCAAGACAGATAATCGTGTACCCAAAATATTCCCAAGTGTTAAATTCTTAAATTACAAAAATAGAAGACGAATATTAGTTACCGGAGGTGCTGGTTTTGTTGGCTCTCATTTGGTCGATCGTCTGATGCTCGAAGGACACGAAGTCATTGTAGTGGATAATTTTTTTACTGGGAGAAAACGCAACGTCGAGCATTGGGTAGGCCACGAGAACTTCGAACTGGTTCATCATGATATTGTTAGACCTGTTTATCTTGAGGTAGATGAGATTTATCATCTTGCTAGTCCTGCTAGTCCGCCTCATTATATGCATAATCCTGTTAAGACTCTTAAAACTAATACCATTGGGACTATTAATATGCTTGGTACGTTAGATTTTATCTTTTAATTTAAATATTTTTACTTTGCAATTTATTTTATTATTTACTCATAAATTTTATTAATCTAATTATTTTTTAATTATACAATAGGTTTTTGAGGGTTTTTTTTTTTAATAATAATTTTTCATTAAATAAAATAAAGAAAATAATAATCAATAAAAATTTCATGTCTTTTAATGCTTTTTAATTTTCATAAAAATATACAGTTTGTCATTTCATCGATAAGAGGCTAAAAATAAATATTAAATGAAATATTGAATTTACTTATCCTTGAAATTTTCAGACAAAAAATATTTTATTGTAAACTCTGAAATTAAGTCTTAATATTAATTAAAATTTTTTATTTGTTTTTAGACTTAATTTTATCACAATTTCTTTTTTTTTCAATATTTTTATATTAATTCATGTCCTAAAAATTTTTATTTATTTATTTATTTATTCATTTGAACGCCAATCGGCATTATACAACAATTAGTATATTTTTTAAATTATAAATTCTGAAATTTTGGCTCAAAAATTGCATAGAAATAAGATTATTTGGCGATGCTTAAAAAAAAATTAAGAAATTAACAGTGTTATTAGTTTATATTTTTAGTTTATTGACTGTCCAGTCTAATACAACAATTTTTTTTCTCTAATTTTCGTCCTAGTCTGGGCCGTCCGAATTGTTTTTTCAGTCAAATTTTTCTTTAATGACAAATTTAGATATGAATTGAGGATAAATTGTTTATGCCTGGAGGGAAATACAGGCTAACAATATTACGAAAAATTAGAGAAAAAAAAATTGTTGTATTAGACTGGACAGCCAATAAACCAAAAATATAAAGTAATATAAAACCAGTCTTTAAAAAAAATAAATATTAAAAGTTTTATTAACAATATTGCAAAATATGTTTCTTGAGATATTTTGATGACAAAAAAAAAATTTTAGATGATTTGTGACCCAATTATTTCAAATCCGTCTCGTGGAATTGTTAATTTTACTTATGATTAAAAGTAAACTAGTAGATCACACTGAGAGCTATAGAATTTGGCCTATAAATTTTAAAAGATGAGAAACAGGTCATTGAATAATTAATAAAAATTAATTAAAGCCTTACATAAATTTGTTAATGTATTCAAATATAATCTGGTTGTGTAAGTAATTTATTTAAATTGAATAGCCAAATTAATTATATCTAGGACTGGCAAAACGAGTTGGTGCTAAAGTACTAATTGCAAGTACGTCTGAAATTTATGGCGACCCGATGGAACATCCGCAATCAGAGACATATTGGGGCCATGTCAATCCAATTGGTATGTTTATTCAGTTGTAGGCTTTTTCTTTTTATTACATTGCGAAATTTGATCTTTATACAAATGAGATTATATATCAAAAGCTTAAATATCAAGACTCGAACATATTGAAATGTATATTTGATGAAATATAATTTTTTTAGGCCCAAGAGCGTGTTATGATGAAGGAAAACGTGTAGCTGAAACTCTTAGTTACGCTTATATGCGACAAGAAAATATTAAAGTACGCGTTGCGAGAATTTTCAATACCTTTGGACCGCGAATGCACATGAATGACGGGAGAGTTGTGTCAAATTTCATCCTCCAGGCGCTCCAAAACGACTCAATAACGATTTATGGTAATGGAGAACAGACCAGGTCGTTTCAATATGTTTCGGATTTAGTTGATGGACTTGTAACTCTTATGGCATCTAATTATACTCAGCCGATAAATATTGGAAACCCCGTGGAACATACTATTGAAGGTAATATTTAATTTTTAAGTGAACACTTATTTTATTTAAAGTGACGGTAATTGTTCAACAATTGAAGTTTATTTATTACAGAGTTTGCCATGATTATTAAAGACTTGATTGGTGGGACGAGTAAAATAATCCGACTCGCTGCCGTCGAAGACGATCCGCAAAGACGTAAACCAGATATATCGCGTGCTAAAAAGTATCTTAACTGGGAACCCAAAGTATCTTTAACAGAAGGTTTAAAAAAAACAATTGCATATTTTGTTAAAGAATTACAAAGAACTAAACATTTACAAAAAGATATGGCGCGTATTCCATTCGTTAATGATCATAATATAGTAGATCAGTTATAAATATTTTGTTAATTTATCTGTTTTTTATAATAATATATTATTTCTATAAAATAAAAAAGGCAGTGAAAAAAAAAAATGAGGTGCTATAATAAGAACTTTTTTTTTTCCAGTGATGTGTCGATAGTAGTTTGATCAATAATTTTATGAATATAAATTAATATTTTACTGTGATGTAAAAAGATAAATTTACAAACTAAAAAGCAAAACAAGATTATTAACCTTCGGAGTACACTAGGGGTTATTTTGACCCCTAGGTTGGTTTTTAATTAATTTTTTCAGCATTAAAAACCATTTAATTCAGAATAATAATGATTGTATTAAAAAAAGCATTGTTTTACCTACCAAAAATGTAGCAGCCTGAATTCTGATGAAATATATAGTTCCTGAGATATAATTCTTCGAAAGTCAAATGGGGTCAATTTGATCCCGTTTATACTCTACAGTTCGGTTCGGAGTTGTGTACCCCGAGGGTTAAAAAAAAAATTATTTTATTTTGTGAAAGACATTTTATATGAAACATATAACTTCTTCCGTGTGTATTTTTTCTGAAAGTAAGTTTCTAAAGAATTAAAACATACCTCAGAAGTAAGTTTACAAGCATGTGGAATAACATTCCATGCTTGTAAAGATGGATCACCTTATGAACTCCACCATCCATCTTACAGCTACAAATAAATTATTTGAAATTGTGAAAGACATTTTATACACAGAAAAAAAAACTTCTTGCACAAAAAAAATTTTAAGGAAGACAAAAGTTATTTTGAAGCAAGAAGAAATTTTTTTGTCTCAAGAAACTTAGACTTTATTCAAGAAATTTTCAATCTTCCTTAATATTTTCTTAAGCCCAGAAAATTTACCCTCCGGTCAAGAATTTTTTTTTTTAATGTATGAAACATACAACTTTTACCATGTGTATTTTTTTTGAAAGTATAGTTTCTAAAGAACTGAAACAAACCTCAGAAATAAGCTTTCAAGCATGTATGAATAACATTCCATGCTTGTAAAGATGGACCATCTTATGAACTCCGCCATCCATTTTACGGCTACAAATAAATTATTTTATTTTGTGAAAGAAATTTATAAACAGAAAAAAAAACTTCTTGCACCAAGAAAATTTTAAGGAAGAAAAAAATTATTTTGGAGCAAGAAGAAATTTTTTCGTCTCGAGAAACTTTGATTTCATTCAAGAAATTTTCAATCTTCCTTAATATTTTCTTGAGCCACGAAAATTTATCCTTCAGTCAATAATTTTTTTTTTTTTTTCAGTGTATGAAACATATAACTTCTACCATGTGTATTATTATCATAATCGTGAAATGTTTTCAGCTGAAACTGTAAATACTTACAAATTAATTTATAAATATACTTGGATGTCATTTAATATTTGCGATACGAATATTGACCTCAACAAAAAGATAAACAAAAGACAAAAATATATGTTGTGCATTAAAATTTTTTGTGATAAGCCTAACGACATTTTGTTATTATATATTTCACCCGTAGAATTTAATCTAAATGGCTATCTCGCATGACCACGGATCAATCAGATAAACGGACTGAAGATTACACCACGTGTAACACTTAGACCTGGACAAAAGAACCTAAATGACATTGAACATTATAAACCAAGGCTAGAAAAATAAATAAATAAATAAGTTATTGCATAAAAAAAAAAAAAAATTTATAATTTAAAGTACGGAAATAAAGACACAGATTGAAGAATTGCTGAGTTTAGATTATAATAAAAACGTTGGAGGAGTGTCTAAATAGACGATTATATGTAATGGGTGTCGCGTGGGCTTTGATAGGGCGCGCGTGGTCGTTTACAAAAAGGGATATATACAATAATCATTTCATCCGGGGCTAAATATATAGCATCTGATTATACACGATAGGAATGATAGTGTAAGAAAAAAAAAACAAGAAGAATAATTTAATCTGTTCTGCGATAATTTGAAGAGTAAAGAAGATATACTGACTGTCAAAAAATTTATTATGAGATTAATTCTTAACACATCACCGGCAATTGTGTGTCCTTTATAGTTTTCTTTTAGTTTCTGACCGTCTTACACCTGTGTTGGTACAAAAAAGATATTGAAGAGTGTATAAAGCATTGGCGTAATTCGATCACTGAAATACAAGAAGAGTCGTGTGTGTTTGATGCTTTTATGCAGGTTAGCTTGTTCTTGTCTATTCAACTGTAAGCCCTGCAACATTCATTCTAAAATTGAATTAGCTTTCTCAAGTCACACACTCAATATGCTCAAGAACGCACGTTGTATTGACACTGCAATACAGTATAACTTTAATGTTTACACATCTACAATACTCGGTAAATTTATACAAGATTAAAATTAAACAAATACACTAGAGTACAAAATTATTTTTGAGCAAATAAATTAATTGTTTCTTCATTTTAAATTATGAATAAATATTATTAGTATATTTAAATCCATACTCGACATGGATAGGTAGATTCTTTGTTTGAATATTTAAAAAAAACACGTTATTAAAAAGCAATAATGTCCTAAAATTTATTTTTTATTATATTTTTGCAAATAACGATAAAAAACCGACTGCAATAAATAAATATTCAAAGACATCTACACAGAAAAAACAAACTTCTTGCGCCAAGAAAATTTTAAGGAAAACAAAAGTTATTTTGGAACAATGAAATTTTCTTCGCTCAAGAAACTTTGACTTCATTCAGTTAAGAATTTTTTTTAGGTAGATTTCGTAGAAATCTATCTATTGCATTGGTCCTTGTGTCGGAATTCACACGGAATTTTATCATTTTATCTGTTATGTAGTCGAGTAAGGCTCAAAATTAGCATTGGTTCGAAAATTTATATATTTATGTAATATAACGCGGCTTGTGGATACGATAGCGTCTACAATTCTCAACGGATTTAGATGAAACTCGGTACACATATTTTTTGGGTAATTACCTTGAATGAATTCGAAGATGAGCAAAATCGATCAATTAGTTTAGAAATGGCGGCCATTAAAAATTTTCAAAATAGTGAAAATCACGTTTTTGGTCACTTTATTCGTGTTTAACTTTTGATTGAACAGAGATAGCTAATTTTTAAAAAAATTCATGTGATAGCTCATGAAATTACCTTTCATTTGACGGATATATAACATTGACATTTTGACGATTTTTAGTTATTTTATCAAAGTTAAGAGTGCAACTGAACCATTTTTAGGTACCTAATATGTAATACAACCGAATTATGTACGTTATTTTATCAAGAATTTCATTCAGTGAAATCTACCTTACATTTTGGGTGTGACCGAATGACGTTTTTTTTCAGTGTACCTAAAAAATAGGATTTGTAACACATGAAAGTAATTTGACGATAAAATCTAAAAATTAATTTATTTTTGATTTTTTTTAAAAATTTTTCCAATTACGAAATAAATTTTAAAAAAGTATCAAAAGTCAACGAATAATAGTTTAAATTGAAGAGATAAATTATGTGAACTTGAAATCATAATTCACAAAATAACAACGCAAAATATTTTATTATCAATAAAAATTATTATTATTTTTATATCGTCGTGCAAAGAGTACATTTAAGCTACATATTTGTGAGTATAACAAAGACAATAATAACGGTACAAATAAAGCGTGTTGACTTAACAGATTAATTTATGTTTCTTTGAAGCCAATTAAGCGATGCACAAACAATTATCACGTCTGAAGTTGAATCGTGCTTGCAAGGGATCTTCTCATTCAATCGAATCTTTCACATAGTCTTCAGCTCAAGTTGTGTTTTTCCATGGTATCCTACGAATGACTCATGGATTCTGTTGAAATGCGACGGCGCTCGTGAATCTCGACTGTTGATTCTTGATGATGAAGACTATTGGTAGAAGTAAAATAATAGATAAAAAGCTGCATCAATCGCTATTTACTTGAGATGTCATGTTCCCACGGAAAGCGGGAGAGCAAATTCAAATATATCTATATCTATACATGTGTATGTATATATTTTTATAAAGAACATATATAAGAGATTGCGGGATGCTGGTGACTTTCACAAGAGCAAGAGGAGTACCCCAACGCGTATGTCTGCATTATGCATGACGCGAAACAGAGTTCAGGAGCCTCTTGATCGTCTCTTGGTGGTCGCGTCAAACGGTACGAGGTCCGCCGCGGTTTAGAGAGAGGCCAGTAATACCCAGAAAGATAAAGATGATAAAGGAAGAGATATGTTAAATATAAAAAGATATAATATGAGGAGGAAGACCAAACATCTTGACATAGTTGCTCGTACACGGATGCGAGAACACGCTCGTCCATCCTCTCCCTTATTATTCACATTTTACTCTTATTCACTTCGACATCGTCAATTTAAAAATAATGAATTTTTATAAATTTACTAGATGTAATAAGCTCTTTTTGATCCCGGCCGCTTAATTGATACCACCGCCGTTATTATTGCCAGTCGCTAAATAAAAGCCGTACAATAAAATCAATAGAACAAAACCAATCAACCGTTAAATGAGACGCAGTTTTATATTTTTTTTTTCCTACAACCGTTTAACATTTTTACAAAAAATATCATACAATAACAAGTGTCAAACAAACAACCTCCGTTACTTAAACTTTAATGTTCTTTTGATGATATATCTTTTATTTTTTTTTTTATCACTTAATTATTGTCAATTTTATCATCGGACAGCAATTTATTGCATTCCTCACTCCCGAAAATCTAAAAATTCTTTTATCTAGACATATATCAAGTCAACCAATAAATCTACTCGATTCTCATTGTGATAAAACATCCCTTCATTTTTGGTCCATACTTAATCCCCCGGGTAATTTTTACCCACCAGTCAGAGAGAGAATTGGCTTTTAAAATCCTTATCGTCCTGATGATATTATATAAGCTTACTATACCGAGTTCCCTTAACTTAGAATCACGTTCCCAAAACTTTATTCTCAGAATCTTCGGTGATAAAAATAAAGCTAAATAAGTAAATTTCATTTT